ACCTTAGTTTCATGTAACGTTCTAACCAATTGTGCCTTAAGGCCCTTTATTTGCGGATCTAGACTACAGGAAAATATTTTCAACCTTTAGAAAAACTTACTCTGATAACAGGAAGTGTAAACAGTTTAGTCATAAACCAGTGTAGACTTATTAATTTATAGCACTGAATGAAAAACATCTTAAGAATGAATAAACGGCAATAAAACCAAGCACTTGTATAATTTTTTATGTGACTGGATAAAAGAAAACAAAACAACATAGCCTTGTAATATTTAAAATCAAATGACGATTGAATTATTTGCCAATCGATATGTAAAACAAACCATGGCGTACTTACTTTAAAAGGGAGAAAACTTTACGGTTAGTGTAAGGTAAATATTAAAGCTGCACGGTTCACTTGGGTGTTGGACTTAAAAACGCCTTTTCAAGAATTCCAAATAAAATGTATATTTGTCAATCCAGCACATGCACTGATCATATATATAAAAAACTAAATATAAGCCTTTTTTTAAAAAATGTCTATAATAATACAAAAAGAAAAAAGTTCGCCTGAAAAAAATCGCGGTCTTTCTTGTATTGCGAATCAATCCGCTAACAGTGATTGTGGGCCATCAACCGCTGGCACGTAGAACACTAAATCTGTGTATTTTCTTCCCCTCGGTCCGCCTATCATAACAGCTTATTACGCAACGTAAAGTATCTGTAGAACTCTATCAATGGAAAAAAATCTGTAAAACATTACATATAAAGAACAGTGGTATCGTAGCGAATGGTTGTCCTCAACTTATTATGATAATTCGTATATAATTGCTTCTTATAGCCCTATGAAAAATAAACTGCCTAACGTCTCGGGACTAAGTATTTTTAAAAAAATTTAATAATAAAATCCAAATTAATTTCAAAAAATATATACGTATTTTTTATGGCTTTCAAAACAGCTTACATTGGCCTCTTGACAATAACCACGAATCATATATATGTTCCATGTAAAAACAAATAAAAAAAATGAATGACTAATATTGTCACTTGCAGGAAGCCACGTACACACAATGGGCCTTCATGAAAGACATGAGGTTAAAGACCGAGCGTTTATATATCCCGCAAGGATACATTGCTCTCTTTGGAAAAATACACATATTGACCGCTAAACAAGAGTATTAGTCTCCATGTAGCCACGATTACCCCATAAAAATAATTCTAAACGGTTTGCATTTGTTTCTATTACTTAGCCACGTATGGCCCCGTGTAAAAAATTCTTAAATGCTGGGCAGTATAGACTGTCCTATTTGCTTGTGAACAACAACATATGGGCCCCTGTTAAAAACTGAAACAACCGTATAATAGACTATATATTTCTCTTGCAGGTTGCCACGCATGGCCTCGTGAAATACTCAAACCGATTAAAACGCTGAACTTGTTTATTTTCTCCTTGTACAGGGTAAATATGGACCCACTTTGTAAAATGAAAATCATTTACCCCCCCCTAGCCAAGAGTATAGCGTTTCTTATGTAGCCTCGTGAAAAATTAAAAAGGTCGCCAGTAATAGACTGTCAATTCGGCTATTATTAAGCCACGTTATGTGCCCATGAAAAGTTCTAAACGGCTGCATCAAAGGGGACTGTGTGACTTTTTCTATTACTTAGCACGTATAGGCCCCTGTAAAAAACTTAAATGCTCGCATTAATAGGATGCCTATTCGCTTGTGGCACAGGCAAATATCGCCCTATGTAAAAAACTGAGATGACTTTAGATTATAGGCCTGTAATGGCCTCTTGCAGGCAGCCACGCATGAACCACATAAAAAACACTTTATGTGTTAAAGGCCGAGCTCGTTTATTTTGTCCCGCTGCAAGAAGTACCACACCCCTGTTTGAAAAATACCAGAAGATTACCCCCAAACCAACGTATTGGGCTCCTACGTAGCGCTTTATTGGGACCGTGAAAACCTTATAAAAGTTGCAACAATGAACTATGCATTATTTCTCTGTACTAAACCAACGTATGCCCCGTGTTAAAAAACGTGAATGGCAGCAGACTGGTCTGTCATTCGGCCTGTGGACCAGCCCAACGCTATATAGCCCGTGTAAAAACTGAAAATGACTCAGTAATAGCTGAATATTGTCTCTTACAGGTATCCACATATGACTCATAAAAGACAATTAATGGTTAAACGCCGAATTGTTTATTTGTCCCGTGCAGGTACATTGTGACCCCTTTGGAAAAGACAATTAACACACCTAGGCAAAAAGTAATTTGGTCTCCTATATAGCCACAGATGGCCCCATGAACACAAATTCTAAACCGGTCGCAGGCAACAGCAATGACTGTGCATTGTTCTATACTAGCACGTATGGCCCCGGTGTTAAGAAAAACTTTAATGATCAAGCCGTACTGGACTGTTATTCGCCCTGGACAGCCACATATGGCCCCGTTGTAAAAACTAAAACGACTTTAGTAATAGGCAATTATATTTTTCTTGCAGGTACCACGTAGGGGCCCCGTGTAAAAAAAACTTAAATCTCGGTAGTACTGGACTGTCTATCCCTCTGGACAGCCACCAATTGCCCCGTGTAAAAAACTAAAACGACTTAGTAAAAGGCTATATATTTCTCTTGCAAGGTAGCCACGTATTCTCTCTTTGATATATATATATATCTCTCTATATATTGCCTCCTATTCTCTCTCTATGCAACATTATCCTCTGTGTAATATATATCTATATATACCTTATAGTTATCTAAACTCTAATCTAGGTACTCTATCTATAAAATATCCTAAATCTCGGTAGTACGACTGTCGTATTCGCCCGGAGCTAGCCACTATTATGGCCCTATAATCCTTCTCTCCCCTTCGTTGAGAGAGAAAATATATAGTCCCCTATTACTAAAGTCGCTATATTTAGTTTTTACACGGGGCCTATTACTAAAGTCAGAGTCGTTTTAGTTTTTACACGGGGCCATATGTGGCTGTCCACGGGCGAATAGACAGTCCAGTACGGCTGACATTAAAGTTTCTTACACGGGGCCATACGTGGCTAAGTAATAGAAACAATGCACAGTCCATTGCTGTTGCTGCGACCGTTTAGAATTTGTCATGGGGCCATATGTGGCTATATAGGAGACGCAATACTTTTGCTAGTGTGTTAAATATCTGTCATTTTCCAAAGGGGTCACATGTACCCCTGCACGGGACAAATAAACAAGTTCGGCGTTTAACCATTATTGTATTTTCATGAGGTCATATGTGGATACCTGCAAGAGACAATATTCAGCCTATTACTGAAGTCATTTCAGTTTTTACACGGCGCTATACGTGGCTGTCCACAGGCGAATAGACAGACCAGTACTGCTGCCATTCACGTTTTTTACACGGGGCCATACGTGGTTTAGTACAAGAAATAATGCATAGTTCATTGCTGCAACCTTTTTATAAGTTTTCACGGTCCCAAAAAGCGGCTACGTAGGAGACCCAATACGTTGGCTTTGGGGGTAATCTTCTGGTATTTTCAAAAGGGCGTGTGTACTCTTGCACGGGACAAATAAACGAGCTCGGCCTTTAACCAATAAAGTGTTTTTATGTGGTCATGCGTGGCTGCCTGCAAGAGGCAATATACAGCCTATATCTAAAGTCATCTCAGTTTTTACATAGGGCCATATTTGCCTGTCCACAAGCGAATAGGCAGTCTATTAATGCCGAGATTTAAGTTTTTACAGGGGCCATACGTGGCTAAGTAATAGAAACAGTCACACAGTCCTTTGATGCAGCCGTTTAGAACTTTTCATGGGGCCATACGTGGCTACATAATAGCGAATTGACAGTCTATTACTGCCGACCTTTAAGTTTTTTCACGAGGCTACATAAGAAACGCTATACTCTTGCTAGGGGGGGGTAAATATCTTTCATTTACCAAAGTGGTCATATTTTACCCCTGTACAGGAGAAATAAACAAGTTCAGCGTTTAACCGTTGAAGTATTTTCACGAGGCCATGCGTGGCAACCTGCAAGAGAAATATATAGTCTATTACTACGGTTGTTTCAGTTTTAACACGGGGCCATATGTTGTTGTTCACAAGCAAATAGACAGTCTATAACTGCCAGCATTTAAGATTTTTACACGGGGCCATACGTGGCTAAGTAATAGAAACAAATGCAACCGTTTAGAATTTTTTATGGGGTCATACGTGGCTACATAGGAGACGTAATACTCTTGTTTAGCGGGTAAATATGTGGTATTTTTCCAAGAGAGCATATGTAATCCTGTGCGGGATATATAAACAAGCTCGGCCTTTAACCATCAATGTACTTTCATGAGGCCATTGTGTGTACGTGGCTACCTGCAAGAGACAATATATAGTCATCTCAGTTTTTACATGGAACCATAATATGATTCGTGGTTATTGTCAAGAGGCAATGTACAGCTCGTTTTGAAGCCATAAAAAATAAAAGTATATATTGATATGATAATATTAATTAATATAGTCCGAGACGTTAGCCAGTTTATTTTCATAGGGCTATAAGAAGCAATTATATACGAATTATCATAATAAGTCTGACTGGACAACCATTCGCTACGATCACCACTGTTCTTTATATGTAATGTTTTAAAGATTTTTTCCATTTGATAGAGTTCTACAATACTTTTTAAACGTTGCGTAATAAGCTGTATGATAGGCGGACCGAGGAAGAAAATACACAGATTTAGTGTTCTAGTGCCCAGCGGTTGATGGCCCACAATCACTGTAGCGATTGATCGCCATAAGAAAGACCCGATTTTTTTCCGGCGAACATTTTTATCTTTTGTATTATTATAGACATTTTTTCAAAACGGCTTATATTAAGTTTTTTATATATATGATCAGTGCATGTGCTGGGATTGACAAATATACATTTTATTTGGATTTTAAAGGCGTTTTAAGCTCCACACCCCAAGTGAACCGTGCAGCTTTATATTTACCTTACACAACCGTAACAGTTTTCTCCCTTTTAAAGTAGTACGCCATGTTTGTTTACATATCGATTGCAAAATAATTCAATACGTCATTTTGATTTTAATATTTACAAGGTATGTTGTTTTGTTTTCTTTATCCAGTCACATAAATATTAATAACAAGTGCTTGGTTTTATTGCCGTTTATTCATTCTTAAGATGTTTTTCATTCAGTGTATAAATAAGTCTACACTGGTTTATCAGTGTTTATAACTGTACACTTCCTGTTATCGGAAGTAACGTTTCTAAAGGTTGAAATATTTTCTGTAGTCTAGACTCCCAAATAAAGGGCCTTAGGCACATTGGTTAGAAGTTACATGAACTAAGGTAGATAGATACTTTTTACATTTTGAATAGACATGGTAGAGTACTTTTGTTTATCTAGCTAAGCATACTGTAGAAATATACGGTTACTGGCTGACTATGACTATATTTTTGTCGAATGACAGACTATTCTCTCCCTTACCACTTACCAGTTCTTTCACCTGACGGTTCTCCCAGTCGAAATATCAACGCGATCAGAGCTACGCCCTTTGGGATTTTGACCATGTCAAAAATTATCTAAAAATCCCGTAGGTTAAAATATTTTGACTAGTTCTCCCCCAAAACCGTTTCCTCCCCTGACGGTTCTCTAGAAAATGAATAAGCAGTAACTGGTATATAATCGCATTTCACATAAATTTACTTTTGTATACAAAATTGATTTAAGACCATGTAGTTGTTAACATGAAACAATATCATTGTTGCTATATATTATATATTACCAAATAAAGAGAAAAATCAGCTTTTTTTTGGATTTTTCTTCTTTGAAATTAAATAGTTGTCAATCTATAAAATATGACTTGGAGTAAAGAATTAATGAAGTATTAATAAATTTTAATGAAATGAATTAAAGGGAAACTCAAATATGTTTATTAATTTTGATTTATATATGAAGAAAAGAAATAAATGAAATAGAATAAATATGAATAAAAGATGCAAAACTAATATGAATTTATGCTTTGTGTTATGAATTTTATGAATTAAAAACAATTAATCTGTAAATTTGTAAATATTTATTATGACTCTTTAAGTTCAAAGAAAAATCAACAACACAATAACAAACAGAGTCAGATCCATAAATTTTCGGCTGGGAAGGGACTTCTGTACAAAGACCGAACTCCATCTTCTAACGGGGTAGGGAGTCTAGGGATCCTTCCCAGTGGGAAAAGTGAAATCTATATGTTAAACGGTGGCTTCTGGTGCATTTTAGATGCACATTTTTAAATTGAAGTGTCTACATGAACGTATTTTTCACAAAATTTCAGACTTATTAAATTTGGGTTGAAATAACATGTTATTATTGCAAAAGTGGAAGACAAAAACTCTTAATGTTAACTGATTTTTAGGGGGAAAATATAAGTTCAAAAGAATTTTTTAGACGGGAAGATGCTTTTGATTAAATGGTCCAGCTATAGAAAGGAAAAGCCCTGATAATGTATAACATAAACCCTATAAAAACAATGATTTAGAAATGCTTCTTGATTACAAAATTACATCGCTTACACTTGAGTATTTATATAGATAAAGACTTAAAACTAGCTGAACATTTAAATACTTCAATAATAATGCATTAATAAAAATAAATATGGGGAGGAACAGTCTGCTTATTTGCAAATATTCAGCCGGTTATCCCCCAAAATAGGGAGAGAACCGTCAGGGAGGAAACGCCAGGGGAGGAAGTGGTATCTGACTACCTTTATGTTAAGTGATGTTAACAATAAGTCAAATATAGGACTACTTCTACTTCCCTTTATTAATATAACTTCCTTCTAATATTAATGTCAACATCAAAGAAATCACGGCATCACTTATTTCCGAGTACGTTAATAGCATAGTTCTGTGCCAGCCACTTTTAACATTGGTCTAAGTTGACCTGTTTATTAGAATTTAGTACCACATGCTTAACTTTAATTACTAATTAAACGGAAGTGCATGTAATAACATATGTAATTTTTTAATGCTTCAAAGTTGAATAAAGTGAATGTAAACAAAGCGTCGTAGTCAAACTGTCTCTTCAGTAAAAAAAATAGTTGAAATATTGTACTTAAAAGTTCTATGGTTTGAGTATTGAGTATCAAACTGTAAGTAAGCGCCCTTCAACATCGTCCACGGTTGTATCTCTAATACTTGCTAGAAAACTGTGGTTAAATTGATTATCTGATTATTGTAATGTTCAGATATGCTGATTATTGACCATTCATAAATACATGTATATATACATGACTTAATGTATATATACATGTCTTATATGTTTCAATTATTCATTTGCATTGACATGTATATGACATTTGTATGTGTGGGGTGGGGAAGGAGGGAGGGATGGACAGTAATTTGGAGTCAGACGGTCAATTGTGCAACAAGTGATGCTGTTTCCGTTCTGGTTGATGTTTTTCATCAATATTAGTATTCGCTGTTTCACTTATGTTTTCTGTTTAAGTAAACATTAACACTATTTATATGTCGTTCACGGTCTATTTAATACAAAATAGTTCACAAAAGTTATACTCTACCTTCTATCTTTATTATGACTTGTGTGAACGTATTGGTGCTGAAATGTAAAGGAATGTAAAGAAAAATACTTAAGAGAATAAAACACAAGTACAGTAAGTTTATTTATTCAAAATTTATACAATCAGCACCAGTGCTATATACGATCCTTTCTACAATTAAATAACAGAACAACAAAATAAGTAAAAAGTGAAAATACCAGTTTGTTTTGAACATACGAGTTTGTTTCTAACATATGTTATAGTGGTTTACAAAATTCGTGTTAATAAAATGTAGTTTTTATACTGAGGTAATTGTGTTACATAAACCAGCAATGCTATTCTAAAATTATGTATGTAAGAATAGAAATTATGTCCGTAAGAATCGAAATTATGTCCTAAAGAATAGAAATTATGTCTGTAAGAATAGAAAATATGTCTTAAGAATAGAAATTATGTCAGTTAGAATAGAAATTATGTCTGTTAGAATAGAAATTATGTCTGTAAGAATAGAATAAAGTGATATAACTGACGATAGGTATTCAGACTAATTAACACAAAAATGAACATTTATTATACATTAGAATGGTTAACACGCTATGTGTGGGTACGCTTACAAATCAATTTGGAGTACCGCGTGATCTGATTATATTTACATATTAATGAAATTAGTGTTTCGATAATGTTGATATTATATTTTAGCAAGTGTAAGACATTAACTGTAAATTTTACTGTGTGATGGCTATGTATATTTATTTGATGATGTTATTTTATTTGTATATGCAAAGTGTATAAACTGATGTATACAGGGATGTGACATAAGATATTAAAATAGTTTTATTATGAATTTAACAACAGTGATCACCCCCACCCCCCTTCCATAACCTCGATGGGAAAAATGTAATTATTATATATTTTTGATAGGTTTACTTATATTGACTGATAGTTTAAACACATTGGGACCATACTATAAACACATTTAGACCATACTATATGCACAATGCCAGTCTACTACTGTAGTTTATCGGTGGCGTCTTCTCATGCTGTCTTGCAACCAAGTTTCAGCCCTTCCTGTGCTCATTTGTGATATTGGGTTGACAGTCACAATCAATGGCAGTGTTCAATTCCAAAACGGCTTTTTGAAAAGTTATCCTCTTTTTCACTCCAGTCTAAATCAAAATAAGTCACCAATTCAACATTGTTACGTAGGATGGATTGACCCTGCCTTCACGGCATCCCGGAAGGGATCTGGTTAAGGAAATGTAAAAGAATTGGGGGACATTATATACTTCAGAACGGACTCTCTTTAAGAGATTTCGAGATCTATTTTGGAAAAAATATGTATGCACATATCAGTAAAAGAATATGCTTTTTATGCTTACAGAAGTAGCAACATGGGGATGTCAGTAAGTAAAGCTGACTCAAAGAGGTCACATGGGCAAGCGTTACCTAGACAACCGATGGTCAACCTGCCGCCGTTGCCTCCCTATAACGGTCATCCCATCCAATATCATCACATCATTATCAATGCGACGCTTGATGTACAAGCTCATTTCAGCTTCATGGATCCGAACTTATCAATCCAGTCAACTAACGTAGAACAGTACTATCCACAGCTCGCTGCAATGTATGACCAAGGCTTTAAAATGCTAGTATTCGTTTCTCTACCTGGTTCTACAAAAAATTACGGATTTGCCTCCCTTGGCCATAGCCAAGTTAATATAAAATTCCAAGGTATATTCCGAAGGCTGCTACCAGAAGAAATGGAACAGCAGTGGCAGTTACGTGTTGAAAAATCTACATTGATCAACCAGATGTTCATGCAGTGGTCTGGTAACGTGTTTCTCAATGCCGGTGCTCACACCGGAAGTACGACCGACAATAATCATATATTTCAAACACTGAACAATATTTCACAGAGTGGCGGACGGCTGATCAGTGTAGAATTAACTGGTATGGCGGGACAACAGATTGAGATGCAGCGACAAATGATGCAGCGTCAAGCACAAAGACAATACTGGGCAACTGGCACCATGCCAATGATGCGTGAGTACTTTCAGACATATTTTTGTCTTATTTTGTATAATATTCTTAAGTTAATGTTACTTTTAATGTTAAGTTGGTCTAATATGCTCATTGAGTATTTTGTCTACAGAACTCGGATTTGCAAGTAGTCCAGTATGCATGTATATTGTAATCAATTAGGTTCAACTGGATTGACTCTGAGAGGATTTGTGTTTAAAGATCTGTCGGTTACCTAGGAAGAATTGGTCAGTAATATACAGAATTAATGTGCACTCTTTACCTAATTGCTGAAATATGACGATTTAGAATGATTGGTTTACTAGCTATGTGTTTTTTCCGGTAATAGAAAATCTTGCAAATAAACAACTCATTAAGTTCTCAGGCATTCATTTTTATGCTGAAATTGCACATTGATTTTTCTCTTTAATGTTACAGAGGTTGCCGTTGACGTATTCTACGAAGTACCCCGCGCACCCTCTAGTGAGAGATATGTTTATCAAGTTGTTAGCTGTCCGATGACTTCAACATTCCAACAAAGCTTCCCACATGGTCAGTTTCACTCGGTCATAAACTGGGAAGCTATAATGTCCCAGTATCTGGGAACTGGTTGGAAACTGGTGGAGATATTTGAGGACTATTCTGTCTCCTCCGTCAGTCAGATGAGTGGTTTCACCGCCAATGTAACGCAGAATAAGAACTGTCTTTGGATTTTTGAAAAACCATCGTCACGGTTGAATGATAACACGCCATTTTATGAAGGAACAATGGTGGAGCATTGGTTTAGAACAAAAACTGAGTTGCATGGCCTCGGTTTTGGTGGAGCCTCGACAAACGTCACGACAGACTGGGAACCGGTGATTGAACATTTTGGACGGCATGGGTGGCAGGTGGTGAGAATATTGGAAACACCCGATGTCAGGATAGAGGGTGCGTTCAATCCAACCATGCATACTCGCCAGCTTATTTTCTTTCAGCGTTTGATAGCTGGCAGATCGGATGTTGTTGGAATCAACGCTGCTATGCCTCAGCCCCAACCGGAAACTGACGCTAACGGGGAGCCAGCCGCACCGCCGTCATATAATGAACTTTACACCGAGAAATGAGAAGTGATTGACAATATTAACGCTCAAGAAGCCGCATTTACCAAGTACCAGGTTTATCTACAGCAACGCTGATTTGTCACTATTTTTAAATTGATTTTACTTTTTATGTTCCCCAAAGGGAGAGCATCAAGTCGCCGCTTTGTCTGTCTATCTGTCCGTCGTCTTTTCTTGTCTGGGACATAACTCTGAAACTTCATGAAGTATCAATACAAAACTTTGTAGTACATGTAGATAGATCTCACTGAGTAGAGATGCAGTGGAAAAGAATCGTAACTCTAGCTTACCTAATTTTGGAGTTATTGCCCTTTGTTCATATTAATACTTTGAACATTGTCCAGGACATAACTCTGAAACTACAAGAGGTACCAACAAAAGCTTTGTAGGTTGATAGATCTCACTGAGCTGAGTAGAGATGCAGTGAAAAAGAATCGTAACTCTATTTTGTCTAATTGTGGAGTTATTGCCCTTTGTTCCCTATTTATACTTCGAACATTGTCCAGGACATAACTCTGAAACTACAGGAGGTATTAACAAGATGTTTTGTATGTCCAAAACATGTTCGGTGAGCATCACCCGGTTTTAAATAGTATTTTTATATATTTTTTAATTTCTTCTTCCTTAAAGTAATCGATTTGTGATATTATAAAAGTCTTAGCGAGGATGATTTCAATTGAATAAAACCACATGTGATTTAAACATAAAGCACTTTTCAATTTTAGCAGTTGAAAGATAGAGTAGGTTTACACCATGGAGAAATATGACTGCATATAATGCGTGTAGATTTATTAAAATGAAAATTACAGTGTACATTTTATTTTCAAAGCGGCCATCATTGTAATTATTCAGTGAAAATCTTTATTAACATCACCGGTTTGATTCTATTAATCATCATTTGATTTGAACTGTAAATGTTATATCATGCGGTGAACCCTGCAGCTAAAGTTAATTTTGATTTTATATACTTCTTTATAATTATATATTTGTATTGAATGTATACACGGTTTAAGTTCGTTTCTTTCATACATGAAGTCTTAATGTAAATATATATTGACTTGATTGTAAACAAATTGTTAACGGGTTTTTATTTATAAACAGGTATTTATTCATTTATATTTTCTATATTTAGATATGTATTAATTAATTCTTAAATTACATATCGTTCATTCATTTTTATTGCATGAGTGATACATGTTTAAGTTTTTTTACTGTTACTTTATTAAAACTTTTTGATATATCTTGTTTTGTTTATTGATCTGTTATCATGGACTGTTTTAAAATTGTTAACTATGTTTTTGCGTTTACATTACAATATAGTTAGGAAGAAGAATATGAATGCATCTGTATTTTGATTAATTTTTTATAGTCGTATTCAGTTTATTGACGATACTTTTCATTTCTTTTCTTTTCCTTCAAAATCTTTTGTAAAATTACTTAATTAATGCATTATTTTAATCTGAGACTTAAAATGACTTAATCCCATCTTTTATGCCCACGATAACGTTGCAAAAAATTTTTGGCCCAACCCTTTTGTATATTGTGAGTAAAATTGATGTATATTTATATATGCAATAAAATATTATATTAAACTAAGTTTATTGAATTTTATATTAATTTTAAGATTTCTTGTTTTTGAAGTATGATAAGTGATTTTTTAAAGCGTATTCATACCATATTCCAATCACTAATTGTTACTGATTAACGTGTTATCATTCGATATACCATATAATTTGTAACACTATGTATGCACTGATGTACTGTTAATATGATGTTTGTTGATTATAACCAAAAAACAACCCTGCTTCGATTCCTTTCTTTTTATACGCCCGAAGAAGTGTTCGCACCTATAGGAGAGTAATTATGTGGTTACAGGAACAGGTACCTCTACTTTTCCTTGTATGTCATTTCATTCAGTAAGCTTTTATATGGCTATTTTTCTTAAATAAGGCTAAAGGAACACTGTGGAGAACAATAGAGTATGCACGTTAGTACTATCCCGTAAGAACTTCTGTCCGTAGACAATTGGTTTCGAAGAATTTCAATGAATGCGTTTATATTTGATAGGCATGTATCAAAGTGGTGATACTTTGTGACCATTTGAATACGGACCACGATGATTTTGTGTCAGATTCCGGTATTTTTTATAACTATGTTGTAACCCAACCGATTTTGTCGAGATAATGCCCAATTTCTACAAAAATGTTTATGACTTAAATGCTTCAAAACAATAAAACTAACATTTTCACATTTTTTAAAGACACGATGTTTCATTGGTTTGTAGTAGAGGCTTTTCCTTCACAAAATTATTTTACACTCCGAGACTTTAAAGGTGTATTAAAAGGCCACGGAGTCTCTTTGTGAGAAGGTTGGCTCAAATGGTAGAACTTTGGACTGTGAATTGATTCCCAGACGGTGCAGGTCAATTTCGTTGTGATTGATCATGAAATTCTTTCTACGGTCATTCGCACTGTACCTCTGTTCTGGCATGAACAGAAGTTATCAGTTCCTTACGAAAGTAGAGGCACAGGTACTGGTAAACAGCTTGACGGCCTGCCCAGGCAGTGGCTTAACTGTGCTCTTGTAGATTCAAAGTGGCTCACCGCCGTTATCTTGAGGGAAAATTACCAGCATTAATATTTTTAAGAACTTTGTTATTGAAATCTGTAAGCCAATAACTATGCACGAACCCGCTGGGATCTTGGACTTCTCCTGTGCCTTCTTTGCCTTAAGCGCTCTTTGCGATTGTTGCTGGTATTTTTGCTCATGCAAAAAAATCTGGATTTATTGCAAAACACACGCACGTACGTACGCACGCACGCACATACACACACATTCCTTGTTTTTGTATAAATGTTATCTTTTGGAGTATCTTGATACAGTGACTGCTGTTGCTTGATGCGAAATGCCTGTTTCATTGAAAGATCTTCACTAGTTAGAAACAATTTAATTATTTTAAGAAATACGTAAACAAGTAGGCATAAACAGATTTTTATTATATCCATCATTCCATGGCCTCAGCTTTTATGGATCCTCGACGAACGTTGCGACACACTGGGAACAGTGAACATTATGGGTGACAGGGGGTGAGAATATTGGTTACACTAGATGTCAGGATAGAGGGATCATTCAGTCCAATCGTGGATACGCGCCAGCTTCTTTAGTTAGCTGAAGGTCGGATGTTGTCGGAACAAACACAGTTATGCACCAGTCTAACCCAGAAACTACCGCTCATATATATACGGAGGTGTGGATGGGTCCCCTTTGAGCGGTAGTTTCTGGGTTAGACTGGTGCATATATATATATATATATATATATATATATATATATATATATATATATATATATATATATATATATATATATATATATATAATATATCAAATTTTACGCTATATTGTTTATTGTTATATAACTTTTAATATTTTTGTAAATTGAATCATAATAAATGCATGTCTTATTGGGGGTGCTCGCACTTACATTGATTAAAACTACACGTGTTTCAAGCATAAAAGCGCTTTTAAATTTTATCAGTTGAATGATTGAGTAGGTTCATATTAAGGAGAAAATGACTTATATAGAGTGTATGCATCTGTTAAAACGAAAATGACAGTGTTCAACTTTAATTTCCAACGCAGCGAAATCTTTATCAACATAACCAATTTGATGTGTTCAATTTATCATCATTTGATTCGAACTGCTGAATGTTATGTCGTGCGGTGAACCCTGATCTTGATCAGATATATTTATATTGAGTGTGTATATATACTGTTGTTCTGTAAATATTCAGTTCATTTGTGCAAAATATGTTCTTTCATTCATGATTGACGAATGTAACTGATGTGAATAAATTGAAAACGGCTTAAATTTATAAACAGGTATTTATTCATTGATTATATAATATTGGCATTTATGATTTTTCTTAATAATTATACATATCGTTCGTTATCATGTGCTTTAATATATTGATGTACCGGGTTTTTTTTGTTGTTGTTTTTTTTTTTTTTTTTTTTTGGTTTTGGTTTTTTTTTTAAGAATGTTTGTTGTTCATTTTATTTTCCCTTTTACTTGTTTTACGTTGTGATCATTTATAAATTAACCTAAAAGTTAAAGAACTATACTCATAGAACTAATAACTATCCTTTTTTATGTTATTTTATAGTGGCAAAACTATCCCTTATATTTTATCTTAGAGCTATCCTTCAAATTATATTTTAGTGTGGTAAAAAACATCCTTTACATTTTAATTTAGAATGGTTAGAACTGTCCTTAACATTTTATTTTTAGAATGACCAATGAAAATTCTTCTTATATTCAGTCCTTCCCTGTTAATTTTACAGGAACAGACCGACTACGTCCGAAATGTATATGCCATATATCAACCCAAACTCCTCACAGTGATTACCTCCCTTGGCAGACTTCAAAGACGTCACATGATGATGAAAGTCACATGACGTAACGTCGAACTTCAAATGTAAATATAGAAAATCTAACGTCATTTTTCTCTTTCTGTTTTATTTTTAACTTTTAGTGCCTACAATCGATATAGTTTATCAAAAAATTATCAAAAGTATACAAAATAACGAAAAATAAATTCAAAAGCTAAAAAATATAAAATATCAAAATATTGTCTCGGTAGAAAATATTCTCATATTTTTTAAAATTATTTCTAAATATTCATATTATTTATTTATTTATCCATTAACATTGTTTAATCAATGAGAAAAAACTTAACTGATAGATAAAAGCAGTAAATTAAACAATTTTTGAAAAAATATAATATATCAGAAATTCTTATATATTGGGACCTTGGTGGCAGAGATCTACGCCGAAGAATTAAGGGGAGATCACTGTGTGGATAGGTTTAGGTTTATTTGAATACGTCAGGGCCCATATGGGCATGTGACAACATAAAACAGTACATACATACAAAATAATACAAAATGGCAAATAATATGTAAAAACAAAATACTACAAAATGGCAAATTATAAATGGTCATACAACTCCATGATGTAATAAAATTACTGTAATAATTGACTGATAATGGAGGATGAGAGAGAAAAATCAAAATTCATTGCGAGAAAAAAACAAAGAGAAAATACATAATCTAATAAGCTAACATTATTTAAATAATAACATAATATTTTTGCAAAATATGGCAAGTTTCAAAAGGATATCTTTATTACTATGGTTCATTAATTTTTCAAATTTTAGAGATTGATATCAACCAACATCATCAAAATACTCTATCGTAAAAGGCTGTTGGAACCAGCGTAAATTTTAGCTCGTCTGTTTCGAGTGTCAGTGTTTGGCCACCAAATACAAAACCACCGAAAAAAATCCACTATCAAAACAGTTATTGACAAAAATGAAATAGTTGGTTCAATTTTCCTTGATCTCTCTAAAGCTTTTGACTATGTGGATCACTACATTATTATTGAAAAGGTTAGAATGTGTAACCTAGATCCTTCATCAGATGCTTATTTTTCCTCCTATTTACATGTAGATTGCAGTACCCAATCCGGTTTATATTCAGAGTCAAGCTCAGGAACTACTGAAGTTCCTTAGGGCTCAGTGCTAGGTCCTATTCTGTTTTTAATCAATATCAATGACTTGCCTTTGTCTATGGAAAAACAGAAACTGATAATTTTGCTGACGACACCACCCTTTCAACCTCTGATGTATCCCTTAATAGAGTAGTTGAATCTCTTACCCATGATCTTTGAAATGCCAACAAATGGTGTGATTTGAATCGCATGTCTATCAATTCTAACAAAACTAAGGTCATGTATACGTCCTCAAACACAAGCAAAATTATATTTATGAAATTAATCCTGTTTTCATATAAAACAGAGCAAATTGTTTGTAGCTCTGAAGAAAAGTTATTCGGTATTACAATTAATAACACCTTTTCTAGGCAAAAACCATATTGATAATGTTCTTAAAAAATGCAACTCATTGTTACATTTATTATCTCGTATAAAATTATTCATATTTATACCTGTACGTAAAATGTTTTACAATGCATATATTTTACCACATCTTGACTATTGTTGCATAATTTATGGTAACTGTACGTCTTTTCTAGAAGATTAACTTATTAAGTTCCAAAACAGAGCTGCAAGACTCATTCTAGACAAAGATTATGACACTCCTTCTGTTGAACCTTTTTCTGAACTCCGCTGGATGACCTTTTCACAGAGGGTTGTTTTTCGCCTTCTTATTTATTAATGATTTCATTTTATCGTCAGATGTTTATATTTTGCGTTCATCATCTGATTTTCAACATTATACCCCTAGACCAAATACTAAACAATTTCGTTAGTCTTTTGTTTATTCTGTATCTTGTATTTGGAACCGCCTTCCTGATTATATTAAGTCTGCTACATCTGTGAACCATTTTAAAGCATTATACTTGAGTTATTATCACACATTGATGTATACAAATTGATAATCTCATGTATGTATTTTAATTGTTTGAATATTTTTTGATAGTTTTGATAGTGGATTTTTTTTCTCAGTGGTTTTGTATTTGGTGGCCAAACACTGATACTACCACCTGTGGCCCTTTAGGCAGGACATGTTTTATAGTTAATTATCAAAATACTATAAAAAGAAAACCATAGTTTGTTGTTTATTTTAACTCCAGGCATACGCAGATTAATCTCCGCTTACTGACGCGGAAATAGTTTTTTTTTCTTTATTGTTAGACAATAAAAAAGATAAATCGTCTTTTAATTTAAACAATTAACCATCATTTTATATATGAAGACAACATGTGAATGTTGATTTGTGTGGGCGACATTAGATAGTAATTTTGTAAATGTTTTTTTAACAGTAAATATTAAAAGCATAGTTCGGGCGTTTTGTTATATTGTGTTATACATGATATCCAGACGACTTACGTTTAACGTTAAGAAAAATGCCCCCTCCTCTAAGTACGTGCCCGCCGTTGAGAGACGCAGGGCATCGGTAGAAAAGTTGCAGACGTTGAGACGGCGAACAACAAAAAGACTTAAATTGCATTAAGATGAATTATCGCCATTTTTTGGTTCAAAATCAAACGTTCAAAGGTATCATCGACGACGAGATTTTAGGTGTTTTTATGGGCGGATTGACCCTTACTAAACATAGGCTCAAGACTTACTGTCGTGATGTCAATTAATCGTTAATACCACCATTAGCTTTTCTTGTTGAATGGTCTGTTGCTGTTGTTGATTTTGTAGTTGTTGTTGTTGTTGATGATGATGTTGTTGTTCATGTTGATGATGACTAGGCCCTATTCCCAACCTCCAATAAAAAAGCTTTTTCCTAGTGCGAAGTTAAAATTATGAATGTATTTTTTTTTCAAAATAAGAAAAAGTCACCTTCTATTACAACTTTTTAAATACGTTGCACTTTATTTTTTCGTACAAAATATTTCACAATCCGTACTTTTATGATATTCATATAATTATCATGCGACTACGCTTTCTTGTAAATGACTCAAAATACTTAGAAAATTCATATTGTCAGTCACTCTAGATAGATATTGTCATAGATTGTTGCGTTTAATTGACATACGATTGTGGCATCTGTGACTGGGTGGTAAAGGTCGTTGTCTTAAAACGACTTATTCATCGCGTCGGTAGTTCTACTCAGCTGATCGTTCGTGCCTGAAATAATGAACGAAGGGGCACATGAGGTGTACCTTCACCAGCAAAGCTGTGAAGTCGCAACCTTACCTCTTCTGTGTTGGTTTGACGTAAAAGCCAACCCCAAAAAATGATATACGATGTCTACCTTATCAATATCATGTGATACTGCTCTTTCCTGTTTTACTTTCCTAATTGTGTTTAAAACAATGCCACTTTAGTTGAATTTTACACAAGCACATTTTGAGACTCATGTCATATCTTGTTATGTTCATGTAGAAGTTTAGCCCAGATTAGATATGTCAATGACTCGATGCTAAACTGGGCTTCTTAAGCCTATTTTGCTTTTTCCAGACATAATACTTTATTTTACAGAACATAAAGTCTAAGGAAATGGGTGGATTATTTAGCAAGCATAAAACACCTCACCAGACAGTTCATCATGTGCATGATCTACCGGAATTGCCGCCATATGGAGGGGCGCCGATTGAGTACAAAACAGTCACAGTAAACGCTGGGTTAGACGTACAGTCTCACTTCAGTTTCATGGCATCTAATGTGACAATACAGGCCACAAATGAAGAACAATACCACCCTGAGTTAGCCGCTACACAAGAGCAAGGTTATAGAATGTTAACTTTTGTGTCATTACCGGGGTCCATTCAAAAATACGGTTTTTCTGCATCTACAGGCCGTCAATTTACGTTAACAAAGTTCCATGGGATATTCTGTAAACTATTTCAAGATGAGTTAGATCAAAATTGCGAACTAAAAGTAGTGAAGTCAACTTTTTTGAACGAGATGTTCACAGAGTGGTCTGGTGACATTTTTCTTAACCCGGAAGCGGGCATTGTTGATAATGACAATGATATTCCGCTAGGAAAGTTTCATATCTTACAAACTTTACAGTCTATATCAGAAGAAGGCGGTAGATTGATAAGCGTGGAACTATCTGGTATGTCGGAGGAGCAAATTGAAATTCAGAAACAATATGTTGAGAGACGCGCAAAGACGCCGCACCAGACGATAGAAACAATCCCGGAAATGCGTATGTATAGTTTGAAATTTGTTCACATGACCTTGAAATCAAATACCTTAATGTCACACATATATATACTGTATAGCTCATACTATCGTTTTACGTTTTACTTTACAAGACGATAACAAATGATCTTCAGGTA